CCCTCAAATTTCATGTACGTTTTTACCCTTATTATAAATTTCACAATCTATCTCTTCTGAACGTGACCAAACAACCACAATCTTCCCTCACTCAACATATCAATGATATGCATAACTCCCAACACCCTCTGGTAGACCTTGTTTCTTATGTTGGCAAACATGGTCCAACCACAAGTTAATCTAATCATCCTCATTTTTGCCACTTCCCACTTCATTCAGAAGAAAAAAAACTTGTATTAGTATCTCAATTTCAATTCAAACATGGGTTTGATTCACATGGACTTTCATGTGTCTTCCTCGTCGCCTAACATATACAATATGACTAGTAGGATGTTAGTCCATAAAAATAGACTAACTATTTTAGTATGACTTCCTCCAAGTTAGACACCTTGTCTTTATGTGATGTGATATGTCATCCTTGACCTCACCCCACTTCTGAACGGTGAAGCCTACATACTTGAAACTTTCCTATTGGGATATCATTTGCCCTCCAATCCACCTCATAATCGATATCTTGCCTCTGAAATTGCACCGTAGATCGTATTTGGTCTTAGAGAGACTAATGCGTAAGCCTTGAGATTCCAATGCACCCCTCTACTGCTCCAACCTCTCATTCACCTTCGTCTTGGACTCTGATATCAACATTGTTGGTCCTGGGAAGTTATGATTTTCACAAAAGTGTTTGTAGGAGAGGAATGAATACAAAGACAACATAGTTTCACTTTTCACTTTCTTTTTGTTTTATAACTTGTATAAAAACAAAGAATTACAAATTTGTTTCGAAAGTTAGAAATGTAAGACTTGTGATCCTAAACAATTTGACTATGACAAATTAGCTAACTATAAGAGAAGGAGGAGAAGGATTCTCTTTCAGATCTGATGGACAAAGGATGTTTTCAGATTATGACGCCGAATTTATTTCAAAAACACTCTCAAGAATTGTTTTTTCAAAATTGGCGAGTTGCAATGAATGCCAAGGGTGTCGTATTATAACCATAATTACATTAAATTACTTATATCCAACTAGTATGCACGTCTTCTTCTTGTTGGTTGATCCATGTAACCTAGTACTCTTCGTTTCAGCCTTTGAGTTTGATGTAGACACTATTTTAACTTACTGTCTCCTTTAGTATTTCTAGTGAACAGTAAATCAAAAAGAGTATCAACCACATGGTTCTTTTAGATTTGCTCACCCTGACATATTGTACATGTTCTCATACCAAGGAAGGAAGCAAGAGAGTTAATGAACCAAACTTCCAGGCTAAGTTTGTACTTCAAGATTCGCCTTACAAGTAGTAAATAATTGTCAGTTACTAGTTGACTTTTTATCTTCTACTGGTCTTTTTTCAGTTAGATGACAATACAATCTGCCTTGCTAAAGATCTTGGCCTCACTTCAATTAGTCTTTGATTCTGTTGAAGACGTTTTGCTCTTGGATCAATACAGATAGTTACAAGACTTTTACAAGTAAAAATCCTACCATGGCCTATATCCGATAAGTAAGCTACAAATCGGATTTTACTAGCTATAGATAAAATCCTACGTTTGTCTAATAGTTGGTGCATGCATGAACCTTTATCCGATGGATGACTCAATCAGATCAAGGTTTATTGGAAGTTTTGATGAAGACCAACTATAGAGAGACATATCTAATGTGGTGATATATCAGAGACTAATAAATAGATAAAAATGATATCAATTGAGGTTTTTATCAAATAAGTGTTGTACAACAGATAAGTAAAGCAAAGAAAACAAAAATGTTATTTTCTAAGTGTTTGATCGGATGTCTATTAGTATTATAAGTGAATCTGATGGTTGAGACCGACAAACACAATGTTTTTTTAGAAGTATATAATATTTATACACGACAAATGAAACAAATAAGCTCACACACCCTCCTTATATTTGGTGAGGTTTGAATCCCTGACCTCCTAGGAGGTCAAAGACTATGATACCGCTAGGCCAAAGGCCCTTTGTCCGCAAATATCATACACCCTTGTACATTTCCATGGATCTCTTGGGAATTATCATCCAAATTACAACAAATAGGAACACGCTTAGTGCCAATCTTTAGTGTGTAGTCATATCTCAATATAAAAATATTCTTTCTCGCTCATTGGGGTCCTGAATCAAGTAATGATTGTTCACACATACTTTAAATCACTTGAAATACCTACACAATATCCCTCTTCTCAAAATCGCATCTCATGGTATACTATCTTCGGTCTTCTCCAAGTCTATGAACCCTATGTGTACATTCTTTCTATGCTCCCTATACTTCTCAATGAGGTGTTTGAGGAGGTTACTTGCCTTAATCGTTGATCGATCTGGCATAAAAGCAAATTAGTTCTCGGACACACCATTTTATTCCCCACCCTTGCTTCAATCACTCGCTCCTATAATTTCGTGGCATGGCTAAGTAAATTTATACCACACACGGTAGTTTCCACAATGTTGTGCATCATATTGCTTTTATAAATTGGTACCCTACACTACATTAAGCCTCTAATCTTCAGGCAACTTCACAATCATCAGTGTGCCATTGAAGAGCATTGTCAATCATTGCACAACCTCATCTCTTAGACAGTCATACCTTTATAGGAATCTGATCATGGCCTATGGACTTACCCTTGCCCATTTTCCTTATCTCCCCTTTTATTTCTGCTATGCTAATCACAGACAAAAACAACTTCAGATGTCTGCTGCTCCCTCCACCTCCACTCCCTTTTGCCTTTTAAAATAACCTACAAACATAGTTACCCTATCTCCCTTTAATGTCTTCATCTTCTACCAAGACGTTGTCATTCCCATCATTATACTCCTTACTTTCCTAAGTCTTGGCACCTTTGCTCCCTACCATTAATTAGTCTTGACACATCTGCTTCCTACCTTTAATTAAAAATCCCATAACTTTATTTCCTCTAGATGTGATGTTTTTTTACAAGGGTGGTGCTTGATTGGTTTGAGCTTGGCTCAAAAGGTCAAAAGTGCCAGGAGGTCCTAGGTTCAAATCCAAGGAGGAACAAAAATCCCCTTGTGGCCACGGGGGTTCAAATGTGGTGACTCCGGGCTACGTGCAAAACAGGTGGTCGCCCTAAGATTAATCAGCTCACATAACAGGGTGGATATCCAGATTAATAAAAAAAATATGTTTTTTTAACATGATGTTTCACCACTAAGAATTCCTCAAAAGTAACTCATAATCAAAAAGGAGTTGATGAACTACAAACATTGAGTATACGACTTATCTAATTTTATAAGTTTTACTTATACAGAATTCGAGTCGAAACATATTGCCTACGATTCATCCCTACATGATGAAAGAATTAAAACGACCTTTAGCGACAACTAAATTGTAAGGTCTCGGGTTTTCTTCTCAGTGGCCTTCGGTTTGAGTTAAGACTAACTGAGGTTTGTCTCACTGCTAACTTTAAGGTAGGGACGGATCCACCTATTAGGTTGTGGTTGCCTATGCAACCATGAAATTTTGGGGGTTAAGTGTAATTATTTTAAGGTTATTACATGTGAAAATATAAGTTTTTTTTGGAGTTAAACCATAAGATTTCTTAGGATGAAACCATAAAGTTTAAATTTTTTAGAGGTTTTATATGAAAATTTAATAAATAAAACTCCACCTTTCCCGCACGTTGAGGATGTGGTTGATGATAAGTTATGGTTTACACCCCTAAAACACTTTAATGTTTTTAATTTATTTCTTTTCCTTTTTTATTTTTCATTTTATACCCATATTATATTAATTGTTTAATTAATTAATAGTTAAAATATATCGAAAAAATAAGTATTTTTCTTTATAAATTACATCGTTAAAAAGATCTCGTAGACACATTTGAAATGAATGAAATATTGGACTTTCTAGTACTTTTGATCTTTGGAGCCAAGTTCAAACCAATCAGACATCACCCTTGTGGTTGACGTTAACTCTTTTGGCTTCAGGGTTAACTTGTTGTTATTTTAAGTTAATATGTTGTATCTTGAACCGACCATCTAGATCAACAAGTGGAAACATGAAATGCACCAACAATTAATTGGTTTTAAAGTTTTAAGAGATAAATTTTTGAAAATAAATTAGTGTAGCAATTTTTTAATAACTTAAATACTTAATGAACCTAAAATAGCCAAAAACGTAGTCCATATAATAATTTTATGACTAATTTTTAAATAATTTATACTACAATAATTATTTAGTGAAACCACTGCCAAAATATTCTTGGATCCGTCTCTGCTTCATGGCCCCAATTCCCAAATGGCCGAGATGCAAACAACCTGATCGGAACATGAGCCACACTTATCCAAATAAATGATGTCGATTCGCAACTTGACTCGAACCTGACCCATGACACGAACATGATCCATATTCAACTAAACTAAAATGCCCAATTTCAATTTAGAAATGAAAGTATAGTTGGTTTTATTTTAGGGGCCGTTTACCAAGCGTTTACCAGTAAAATTTAACACTATCAATTACCTACCAGATAAGATTTTAGTCCAGCAAAACGATATTGTATGTAACAATTTACCCGATAAGTGCTTACCGTTGTAAGAGTCGTCGCCATCACTTACCGGGTAAGACTCTTGGTCCTTGTCTCGCTCTTACCGGTGTAAGATTCTTGGTTCTTATTATATTAATTCGATAAGGTAATGTAACTTGGTAAACACTTACTCGGGTTAGCTTTTTGATAAAAGGACCCCTAATTTGATGTAACCTTATTTGAAAGAAAGAGGGAAGAAACATATAAATAAAAAAATAGAACATATGGGTATATCGTATAAATTATTACCATTAATACCCATTCACATGTGAAGAAGTAACTCATCTAATTGAATAATTAAACCCTTAAAACCATTAGCAGACAAACAAACATCCCATATAAATTTAAATGCTATGGCAAACATCCAAACCACATTCATCGCAAACACACTAGTTCAATTTGCTGATCTCCACTTTCCGGCGGTCATGGCTTCCACCGACACCAAAGCTCCGACGCATGCCACCACCCAGTCATCGGTGAAGTGGGCATCACAACTATCGGGGTACATGGCTGGTACAGGTGCAGTAGCTGTTAAGAACCAGGTGAAAATTGATGCAGCCTTGAGGGCCTTCCTCTGCGCAACTGCCTTGGTTGCCGTCATTGTTATGGTCACTTCTAAGCAGAACACCCTCATAGTCGTTTCACCTGTCATGACCATATCTGTGCCTGCAAAATTCACTCACTCTGCGTCTTTCACGTAAGTAACCTCAGTTTGTACTACAATAAAATTGAGTTTCCACGACGTCAAAGATCTCCATGTGTCATATGGTAGTACTCTGATGGAATTGGACAATTGTGTGTCCTATGTAAAACTGTTAAAATAAGTTTATATAACCTTTTTTGACATTTTAACAAGTTTTTTAGAGCATTTTGAAAATAAAGTGTAGTATTAGTTTTGTTATGGGACATTTTGGAGACAAGTCCTATGAACACTTCAAATAATGTTGGATACAAAAAGTTAATATGACGCTTTACTTGTAAAAGAATCGTCTTTTTTCTTCTTCAATAAGATGCATGTTTAATCTTATAAACTCGAGTCTTATAAAGAGTCTATTAGAACATTTAAACATTTATAGCGTCCTATAAACTAAAATTTGTAGTATGGAGTGATTTATAACGTTTGTGTTACGATTTAGGTACTTCGTCACAGCACTCTCGGTGACTTGCTTGTACAGCATCATCACGGGTATTTCATCATATTCAGCACTGAAGAAGCAAGGACGAAGCTCAACCGATCAGCAGATACAGTTCGTGATATATGATTCTGTAAGCGATCTTGAATCATACATAAATATGGGTAATGTAGATCTAACCGGTTTCTGATTAATGGGTATATATGGTGCACGCAGCTGATGTTAGGGATTGTGGCATCAGCAACAGGAGCTGGAGGAGGAGTAGCTTATGAAGCACTGAAAGGAAATCCTCATATCAGATGGAACAAGATCTGTCATATCTACGATATCTTCTGTCGCCATCTTGGATTTGCTATGAGTGTGTCGCTCTTATCGTCAATGACACTTCTAGTACTTGTTTGGCTCTCCGTTTGCGTGCTCGCCAAGAACAGTGGAAGGAGATAGTTAGGGTCGTTACCGAAAACGTTGCAGATTACCATTTCGATGTCATTCAGCTTTTGTTTTGGAAGTTTTTCGTGTTCATGTTAGTTTGTGTTCGTGATGTTCATGACCATTAAGGCACCAGCTTCTTCATTGATTGTGTGTTTGAGATTCGACACGAATATGTTTAGTTTTTTTCCTTTTTCTGGTACTCAGCTTATCTCTAGAAAAATATGAGGCATGAGTTATGGTTGATTAATGTAATATTTATGTGTCACAGAGAAGGAAAATATAGACATGATCTTAATTTTCCTTTTTTTTTTCACTTTTATATATATATATATATATATATATACATATATATATATATATGTATGTATATATATATCTTAATTCTTACGTTCGTTTTCGATTCGATCGAGGGGAGTTCTGAGAATTTTAAAAATATATCAGATGCATATGGTTGATTATCTATTACAATAAAACAGGGCCGTTTACCGACCGACGAATCCGTCGATGAATTCCGTCATTGAAAACCATCTGTTTATTTAGGTAGTGTTTGATACAGGACTGGACTTGACAGAATTGGACAAACAAGAGGGTAGAAGTGGACAAGACTGAACGAGACTGGACTAGAACGTTAGGTGTTTGGTACGACAGGGCTGAACGAGATAAAACTAGACAACTTACCCCCAAAAGTTATTTGATGATTTTAAGTATTATATAATAATTATAATTAAGACAAATAAACTAAATTATTAAAGAATTTAATATATAAATATTTTTACACAATTTTTATATAAATGAATATATACATATATAATAGTAACAAATCTGAATAAAAAATTTGATATAATTAATGGTATTAGTAGTGGTGGTAGAGGTGGTATTAGTTGTGGTGGTGGCCGACGGTAATATTGGCGATGGGCGGTGGACGACGGTGGTTATGGAGGTAGAGGTGATGGTGGTTAATGGACAACGGTGATTATAGAGAACGTGAAGATGGTGGATTATGGTGGAGGTGGCGGCGGTTGACAATGGTGGAGACACTATTAGAAAATAGGCTATTTCGGTGAGATTTTCGGCGGATTTCATGGGATAACGAAAAAGTCAACTTCTGTTGACTTCCGCTGGAAAAATTATTCTGATAATATTTCCGGCGGATTTCGTAATTAATTAATTTAGGCTTGTATGTAAATTTAATTACAATAGTTTTGGTTGATTAAATTTAAAATTTAGTCACTTTTTTCCAAAAAAAAAAAAGAAATCTTTGATTAAACTAATAGAGTTGAATCATTTTAGCACAATCCTTTTTTTGCAAAAAAAAATGTATTTATTTGTTAAACATAACCAAGTCTAAATGATGTGTACAATGAGCTTTGAAAATTTCTCAAATCTTGGATTATGGTGGTAAGTTAATAATCCAACAAAGATAAACACAAAATAGATTCACAAATAGCACGAGTATATAATAAGAAGATGCTGAATTGAAATTTAAAAAATTTTGAGTTAAATTTGACATTTAGTCACTATCTTTTTTCAAAAAGTTCCCCAAATATGTGATTGTAATGTTGAGTTGATTATTTTACATTGATAGAGAGAAAAAAAGTTTGACAAAACATTACAAGTATACAAGGAGGAGATGATAAATCATAAAGTTTAATAAAAAACATATTTTAGTGTTGGTAAGTGATGGTGTAAGTGAAAAAAAAATTCATATGTAATTTTTTCATAAAGTGAACACAAAAATATGTAAAATAATATCTTAAATAATAGTTTTTGATGAAAAACATACTGCAAAAAAATATTTTTTTATACCAATTCTTATAATTTATAACATTCTTGTGATTCTTATTTGATTATCATCCCCCTCAAACACACAAACAGATATATATATATATATATATATATATAATTGCTATAAAATTCATTTTTGTTAATTTAGATATTATCTATATATATATATATATATATAT